TAAGAACGACATGACTTTAAACTTCAGTACGTCCCTCCATAGTTGAGTCATTGGCACATTGGACTGACACCGGCAAAGATTTGGCACATATGGATTGACCATAACGAGACACAATTAGAGTAGTGTTCTCCACGTCTGAAATCATTGGAATATCATTGGACACTCTCTGAATGAATTCCCCACGAGAGCTGACCGATAACGACGAAGATCCAATCATTGAATTGGAAATGGCTTTGACATGGCTCAAAACCTAGATTCTTGGGCCATGTTCTCTTTTGGGATGAACATGAACATCAATCGCATCCGGGACTTGATGTCTTCGCTGGGTACAGGTTGATTGTTTCGCAGCACACATCTCAGGAATTCATTTGGCATCAACAGAGTCGAAGATGACCAAAGTTGAATGACAACTTTACTCCCCAAGTTGGCTCATTTGGCATTCCAGCTTTACTCCCCGAAAGTTGAAGACTAATGGACAAACCACAACGACCCGACGAACCTGGACTGGTCCCCAAGGCGGGCGGAGGCTATTTGGGCCTCGAATGTGCAGCAGCATTAGTTGGTTGGGGCGTCGGGGAGCCTGAGCGGGGTGTCGTGGTGCTTTGAGTTCGTGGTGCTCGGTGAACCCTTCTTTGGACCACGGGACACATGTCTTCAGAATCCTTCAGGGACACTGGAAGTGGAAGTCTTAGGAAGCACTCAGATCCAAGAACGATCGAGCAATCAACCGAAAGCACCCCAGCTAGCTCTTTGGGCTTGTCGTGGTGGAGGCTGTTTTCAGCAGTTTTTGAGTCTGGCCTTCCTAATCGAAGCAGTGCACACAGATGTTGTTCACTGACTACCTACGTGTCTCATGTAGGGATCTCGGAGAAGCGTGAGACATGTCCATTGGACTCGCACAGACGACGGGCGAGGGTTGAGCTACGTTTGAAGTCTGAGTACGTGGTCCGTGACCCCGAATCAAAACAGGTACACCATGGTAGACCCTCCTTTGCAAACCAGCCGTCTTCCACTTTAGTTGTTTAGATTGAGGGTATCAGTCCACAAAGTAATGTTCAGCAACTATTGTGCGTTCAGCAATTAGGTTTCAGCAACTATTTATTTTGTTGGTTTCAGCAACTGCGGTTCAGCAACTCCCTGCGTTCAGCAACTGCGGTCCATATCAGGCCTATCATGTCCCCGTGTTTCAGGGTACAACGTAGGTTACTCGAGTTCAAGTGTTTAACTATGATGGCCTGGCAACCTGTCCAACCTCTATCTTGCAAACTGTTTGCTAGTGCGGTTTTGAATTGCCTTTCATGGCCAGGCATCGGAATTGGCCGTCGCACGTGGTCGCACATTGGTATGGAATGGTATGGAAACGGTTGCCTTTGTTATGTATATATACATCCAGAGATCCACTTCCCCACCAAGGTGTCTCGAGATGTTTTTGGCTGGCAGATTCTTTAGGCTGCGCAGTGTAAAGGTGGTGAACATGTTCTTCAGCCATAGCTAGAATGCAGAAGACACTTGTGCGTTTGTGTTGAACTTCTTGATGCTCACTTGTTGTTTGTAGTAGAGAGTGCAATTCTTTATTTGCTTTCCATGGACTAGCACTGGCATTCAAACTACTTGGGAGAGGCCAGAAAGGTTCAAGTTCTGCTTCCACCGAGCCTTTGCAAAGGTTTGTAGCAAGCATCCCGAACCAGGATACTCTTCTTTCTGGTCACTGTTTGCACAGTGATTTGTTTGCCACAGATACTTCCACCGAGCCTTTGTCGACTTTCATTTGACCTAAAGGTTATGTAAACGTCTCAAATGCGCGGATCTGCGACACAGTGCGGCGGAACGTGTGGATGCACCGGTCTGCAAGCAATCACTGAATGGGTGAATGGGTGACGGACGGATTTCCGACCTAAAAAACTGGAGAATGACCTGTGGAGACATGGGAGATAGCTATCCTACCTGGAACAGACCCCACTTGGACTGGTGGCTTTTTTCAGACTCCCGGAGTGACTTCAGTGATCCGGACATGCCGGACATAGCGCCGCGTGGCCGGTGTTTGGGCTCAAACAGTACTGAGACAATGTTCAACCCAGACGCTTGCCAGGCAGGCTGGGAGTGGAGAAGTGTATGATCCTGTTGGTACTGTCGTAGCGCAGATGTGGAGGTATTTGAATTGAAGAAGTGACACGGTAGACGACACTCCTATGATATTGTAGACTTGGGTAGAAGAATCATAGAAGAACATGTACATCCATGTTAATCTCGGAGTCGGAGTTATTATCTATATTCTTTACATATATATATATTTCTTTACGGTGGTTTCAAAGTAGATGGTGGCACAAACCCTACACGTCTTTTAGTGGAGGTCCACATAAACTACCTCTTGGGGAATTGTGCCATCTACTCTATATACTCTGAAACCACTGTAGCATCCGCAGTCGATGGCGACCTGGAATATGCAGACCTGTATCACCCAGGTCAGGTCTTTCATTTGGATCTTGTTTGACCCAAAGTTGGGAAATGAAAGCATCCCTCACAAAAGCGGGTACAGAAGCATGTAAAATCATCAGACGCAAGTGCTCAACACATTCATGATCGACACCTTTTTGGTTTTCTCCTGGATGGCTCTGGCGGTGTCAGATGGGGTTTGCCCATGTGAACCACCTGGGCATTGCGGCCGCCACCTGTTCACCTCGTTTCGTACGGCTCTTCGCAGTGTGTCCAGTTCGGCAGGTGCAGGTTCTAGTCCTCGGTGGACCTCCGGTGGCAACCTTGCGAGTCCCCAAACCGAAGGGGGAAAGCCTTAATGGTTTCCGGGTTCCCGTACTTCCGGGTTCCAACAACATGCGTGGTTTTCATGTGTGCAGAATGTGTTTTCAGTCATCGCATACATGAGCAACCACTTTTATTTAGGATTTACTAGAGTAGTCTACGGCATGCTCTATTTGCTTGTCTATCATCAGTATTCGCTTGTGAACGAGATGGGGCCCCCACATAATAGATAGTGTGTTGGAGTTTAGTACCAAATATATGCTGCCGCACATGTATTCTGGACTCCCTTTTGCTTGTTCCAACCAACACCAATTGGTGGGTGTCTCTTCAAAGCTATGCACCTGCCATAGCACAACCAGGATGCACCTGCTATAGCACAACCAGGATGCACCTGCTATAGCACAACCAGGATGCACCTGCCAAGCACAACTGGAGACTGAGTGATCGTTGTGCACTTTGAGGCCCATGAATTTCGATGTGAAGGGAATGCGCAGGGCCCCAGCGGCCTTAGCTGTGGGAAGGATGATGGTCATGCTAAAGTCTCAGCGAGTGATGAAGGAATTTTTCAGATAGTACAACCCCTAGATGTCTGACAGAGTAGGTGGCTGTATGAACCATCCCTTTGGGTATTGGACCATCTACTCTGAAACCACGGTTTGTTGAGGAGTGTTGCAAGTCTCAAGGACCTTGTACCCTCCGGCACTGCTCAGAAGAATTGCATTTGAGGATGTTTAGACTAGAGAAGAAAAGATGGGTCATCTCACATTTTGAGACCTAAACATCTACTCATAGACATATGTCCATAGTCTTTTGCATGTGGTGGTCTGGGTCTCACGAGAACGCGAAAGAGTTGGGTCATAGATTGAATATGATGTACCATGATGTACCCAGATCTTTTTCTGGTGTGTTGAGTCTGGGCTTTAACCTTGCTTGACTTTGGCTTGTCAATGCTTGTCATGTCAATGCTTGTCAATGCTTGTTTGATCCGGCCATGCGGCATCCAAAGACGTGACAAAGGATCCTGCTGGGCTGTACCGGGTACCCTCCACAGGATACATGGCTTTCCACTAAATCTTGGGAGGGATTGGGGGACTGCACGCCTATATATAACACATATATAACACACATATATATATATATCATATCAAATTAATATGTTTCCTTTCTTGGCGGGAAAATGGGTTCAACTTCGTATGATTCTTGGGCGACGTTTCCTTCATGCTATGTTCCGAAACCCCGATTCCAAATGGTTCTAAAGACCTCGAACCAGCCCAACCGGTCCCTGGAACCTCCCGTAAAAACTGAAGGGAGCCTCCAATTTGTACTTCCTTCCAAAAATGGAACATGATGAACATGCTGCATTTCACAACCAAACACACAGGCAGTACCCAATTCCCACTGTCCCACTCGCGAAGCCGTCAGCTCTCACCGGGTGGTCATCGACCCCTCGTTCGCCCAGGGGAGATGAAGGCTTTAAGGACTTCACCTCTCGCCGACTGCTAAAGGCAGGGACCTCGGTGAGCGGAGCAAGACCGTCTCGATTCGGTGGGTGAAAAGCGCTTCTGGCGCGGCCGTATACTACCACAAGAAGCTACCTTGTAATTGAAGCAACCTGACGTCAAACTGCTTTTCCACTCTGCTGGGTGTGTTCTTTTTTTTGTGTTTTCAGTTGGTGTTTGTTGTTTCGTTTCCTGTTTGCTCTTCTCTTCGGGCCTATTGCCAGCCCAGTGATGATAATTTCCGGCCAGACACGGACCGAGCCTGACCGACTCAGCCAGATGAGACGTTCGCCAAAACAGCGACCGGTCATTTGGTTGGGAGACATAGGTTGGAGGGCAATCGCTAGTTGGTTGGAGGCCATTGGTTCTAGGCTGCAGGACAGGCGATCGCTGTTTGGTTGGAGGCCATTATGGCCATTGGTTCTACGTTGGAGGCCATCACTATTAGGTTGGAGGCCATTGCTATTTGGATGGAGGCCATTGGTTCTAGGTTGGAGGGGCCACCGTTGTGTGGTTGGAGGCCATCGCTGTTTGGTTGGAGGCAATTGGTTCTAGATTGGAGGCCATCGCTGTTTGGTTGGAGGCCATAGGCTGGTAGATTGGAGGCCATCGCCATGTTGTTCATGTCCTTTCGATTTCGGAGCTCCCCCGGAAGAAGTCCAGCCACCGCCGCGTGGCGAGTGAAGTCAGCGAGCCAGGTGGCGGATGATGTCAGCGAGCTGCTGACAGAGCAACTCCAGCAGGTCTACTGGGAGCTGATTGGTTTGGCTGCCCAATTGGGGAGAAGGATGGAGGGGTTGGGGGAAGCAGGTGGACTCGCAGCAACCAGGAAAGGCTGCAGATGGCTGTCGCTGCATTGAATTGCTTTCAATAAATGGTTCTGTTGCAGCTTCTTTTTCGGATGATCAATCCCATGTGGCTCTACCTGTGGCTCCATGTTCAGCAACCGATCACCTGTGGCTATACCTGTCACAGTGAGACGTCAAGCGCCCAGTAGATTCAGTGTATGAAATCCTTCATCCATACACTGACAGGACCCTTGAAAACATCCTTACCGGGTTGCCAATAGTTTAGTAGGTTAGGTAGATAGATGGTATGTGACTTGATGTGGTTATTTTGGTAAGAATGGCACATGGATTTGATGCTTGTTACACCCCGTCAGTTATCCGATTCACACCTCCTTTCTGAGGAGGTGTTTCTCCTCCCCGATTCCGCCGCCAAAGATAAATCAAATGGTAACAAGTTTTCTTCGACCTGACAGTAGGTTGGAGGCCATCACTACTAGGTTGGAGGCCATTACTACTAGTTGGAGGCCATCACTACTAGGTTTGAGGGCATCGCTACTAGGTTGGAGGCCACTACTACTAGTGGCAAGAAGCTACTAGTAACACGTTGGATCACGTCCTAAGCTGTACCCAAAATAGATCTGTACCACGTCCACGGCGCCAGTCGGCAAAACCGAGGCTTCCAGGAGTTTGGTCACCCATCCTTCGCATCGACCAAGTGCGACTTGGTGATGTTTTGGATCCCCTCCCAAACAGATGACGATACGGCTAAGGGTTCCGGGTACATTTTTTGAGTCCCTGTAATTGAGCCACCCCCACAAACCAGGCGTTCAGTTTTTATATACGGATCATTTGCTTGGGGTGAGATCTTGCACATTCCTTGGAAAACGAAGCCGGAAAACCCAAACGAAGCCTTTCGGTGGGATGTTTGCAGTGCATCCTTTTTTGAGAAGTACTGTCAGTTAAGATGAAGGGGTATTGCACTTTGTTTTACTTCACGTTGTAAAGGTCACACTGGGGCTCGTCCGTGTCTAGTTGCCTGTGACTTTCCGAAGTTGAAGCTAGAAAGTTGAAGCTGGGAAACCCTCGGATCGCAGCTTCCTGTTTTTCCTGCCTGGTTGCTTTCGATGATTTTTTTCTTCAGGGTTTGGAATGTATGAAATCTGGTGTCTCAAAACGAAGCCCAAAATTCACGAAAAAGGTATCGTTTGTAGAGCCTGGGAGTTCCTTTGCTGTACCGTACCGGTAGTTTTGTGTGTTTTTTTGAATTCCTTTGCTGTACTTCACATTGTAAAGGTCCAGTGGTAATCTAACTCACCTGGTGAACAAACAGAGCATACTCTAGTAGCCTAACTGATGCAACTCCTTGGAAAACGAAGCCGGAAAAACAAACACAAAGCCTCAGTAGAAACGATCCAACTTTTGAACATTAATTTTGAAGGTCGCTCAATTGTTCTACGCAAGCAGCAAGCGCATCCCTTCTGGGAAAGTTGACAGACATTCCTTTTGGCCTAATGTGCTGGCTTGCTAGTGGCATGGTCAAATTGTAGTCCCCCACGAAGCAGTTTCCTGTCCTGAAATCTTCCGCTTCCACTGGGTGGACCAAAGCAACAGATCTGTCCTTTAGATATCCTCATCCTGAACCCGCGAACTCAGGCATGCACCCGCGCCTCGCGTTTGTCGTTGTTGTGGGAATTGACTCGAATTGACTCAAAGTAACCTGGCAAGAGCTGTTAGACAGCTCAAAATAGCTCGGCAAGAGCTGGTAGACAACTCAAAATAACTTGTCACGAGCTGTTAGAAAGCTCAAAAAATAACTTGGCAGCAGCTGTTAGACAACTCAAGATGTCTTTGCAAGAGCTGGTAGACAACTCAAAACATCTCAAAACAACTTGGCAAGACATGGAAGGCAACTCAAAACAACTTGGCAAGAGCTGTTAGACAAATCAAAGCAACTTGGCAAGAGCTGTAACACAACTCAACATAATTTGGCAAGAGCTCTTAGACAACTCCAATATCTTGGCAAGAGGGGGTATACAACTCAATATAAGGTGGCAAGAGCTGTTAAGACAACACTAAATGTTTTGGCGAGAGCTGTTAAACAACTCAACAATATCTTGGCAACAGCCGTTAGACAACTCAAGTAATTTTGCAAGAGCTCGTAGACATCTCGTGACAACTCAAAAATAACTCGGCAAGAGCTGGTAGACAATTCAAGACAACTTAGCAATAGCTGTTAGACAACTCAACATAGCTGGCCAGAGTTGGTAGACAACTCAAGACAACTAACTTGACAAGAACTTGTAGACAACTTAAAAACAACTTGGCAAGAGCTGGTAGACATTTCAAAACAACTTGGCAAAAACTCAAAGCAACTTGGCAAGAGCTGTTGGACAACTCAAAACAACTTGACAAGAGCTGTTCGACAACTCAGAAAAAGTTTGGCAAGAGCCGGTAGACAACTCAAAACAGCTAACTCGGCAAGAACTGGTAGACAACTCAAAATGTAATGGCAGGAGCTGTTAGACATGTCATTGCAATTCTTCTATTTCATTATTATATAAGTTATATGGGTTCACCAACTGCTTCCAAGGGGTCACATAGAATACCCCAGACTTCCTATGGCCAAGTAGGCTTCTTCTTGGCTCAAAATGGGGTGCCCATGCTACTCACCACTCAGGTCGCCGGGCCAATCCACAGCGCAGCTCGGCTTTTCGGGCGGCGTCCGAATTACGGCCGTGGATCGGACCTCCGGCGATGTCCGTCGACTCCTGGCCGTCGACTCGTGCGGCCCGTAAGCATGATACGACTTTGTGAACGTACGGAGTGACTCCGGGCGATGGAGTCGTGTTCCCGGTGGGGCTGAACGCCTGTTTTTCTGTCTTTTTCCGACATGGATGTGGAATGTGTGTTTTCGTGGCTTGGATTCGGTGCATGTGGCTAGACATTGAATGCCTGTTAACTGTTTATTTCACCGATTTGTCTCTGGTGATCAAGCCGTTCCTCCTTTCGGAAGGTCTTTGGAAGTTCAAGAGTCCTATCTTCGGATAGCACTCCCTTGTGCCAATTTGATCTATAAATCACTATTATCTTCCTTCATGCTGAATTGTGTTTGTCAAAAAGACACGGCTTTCAGCAGACCACTCCGTGCTCCAGCAGACCACAACAACAACAACTACTACTACCTACCTACCTACCTACCTACCTACCTACCTACCTACCTACCTACCTACCTACCTACCTACCTACC